TACTTATATATATATATATATATATATATATATGTATTTAATCACGAAATTGAGAGTAGAATTACCTCGGGCCGGCGCAGAGTGTAGGCCTATGAATATTATCGACTGGAGAGGTCGATTCTTCCTTTGTTCCGGTTCCCATCGAGCTGCTCGACTTTACTCTTCAAGTCCTTGTTGAGCTCCTCGATTCCGAGATCTTTATTGTCTGTCGGTGCTATCGACCTAACTCTATTTCTTACATCTACTCCATTTATTACAATACTATCTATACTATCTACTACAATATTTACTAAGGCCCTTAGCCATTGCCTTTACATTTTTTACAAATAAATTCATAGGCCCAAGCCTTTATATCCTCAGGATAATTCAACAAGCCTACATTAATTCAACTACTAGACCCAAATTAGTATTGGTCATTAAGCCCAAACTATAGCTGATCCAGTCCCAATACTTAGGCCCACAAGGAAGTACTCTTACGCATTTAAGCTATCATTCTAAGATATCAATCTTATCGGTCGAACAGAAAATTCTCCCCCAAATCGCCGAACAGAAAATACCCTCTTCAAATCGCCGATTTCTCTCGATTGCTCGCTCGGAATTTTCAATGAACATTAGTTAGGAGCCGAGGTTTAAGGTGCGTGTTAGACCAGATCTGAGACCGGGTCGTCGGGAAATTATTGGCCGCGTGGGACGAGGTCCGATCTCAGCCCGGCGGCGATGTAAAGGTGGCTCGGGCGGTGACTTGAACCGGCGATTTGAGGCGCGGTTGACCGTGGCTACGAACGAGGTCGGCGATTGGGTCCCGGTTGTTGTGTAGCTCAGCGTCTGAGTCTGAAGACGGCGGCGGCGGCGACTTGGTGTCCGAGTTCGACGACGGAGTTCACCGGTAACGGCGGCAATTCGGCTTCTGAGTTTGAGGGTAGCCTCAGCTAGGTCGGCAACGGGAGATCGGCATCCGAGTTGTGGTTGACCATGGTTGGGGCTGAGTCGGCGATTCGAGGTGCTCGGCGTTTGGGGGCGAGCTCGACATCGGGGATCTGAAGACCGCAACATCGGGTCAGTATGGACTTTTGGAGGTGCGAGATCGGCGGTGATAGTTGCGAGGTCGGCGCTGATTGCTGAAATCGGGCCCCAGCTGCCGATTGGAGGCCCGACGGCGAGTCAAAGTCTTTTGGCGGGGATGACGAGGTCGGCCTCGGACCTCGGTGATTGTGATGTCGGCTTGCGAGGTCGGCCTGTCGATCACGAGGTCGGCCCGGCGGCGAAGTCGGCTTGCTAGGTTGGTTCGACAGATACGAGGGTAGCGTCAGCCCGGCGTTGGTGAGGAATGTGTCTGATCGGCACCTGCGGTGAGAGCGTCCACGGGCCGTAAGGACGGAAGGGGTCGGCTCGTCGAGGTCGACCATGGTGGCTGCTCTCCGAAGGCCGGAAATGGCGAGGTAAGATGCTTTTTGAAGGCCGGAAATGGCAAGGTAAGACTTCGTGCTGTCTTTGTAGCCCGGAGACGGCGAGAACGTGAATTCAGCTCGGCATTTTGAAGGTGGTTCCGAGCTGAGGTCGGCCCCGGCTCGCGAGGTAGGGCCGTCGGTTGCGAGGTCTACCCGACGGCTAGCTGTGGGTCCCGGGCTGAGGTCGGCGCTGGCGACGCTAATGTGGGAGATGTCTGAGGTCGTTTGTGTGAAGCCGAAACTGAGGCGACGAGGTCGGTGCGGGGCCCAGCTGCGAGACAAGCCCGACTGTTTGAGGGTGAAGAGACCGGAGTTGGTTTTGGCCGGGTTGTGTAGCCCGGCAGGCGACGAGGTCGGTGCGGGGCCCAGCTGCGAGACAAGCCCGACTGTTTGAGGGTGAAGAGACCGGAGTTGGTTTTGGCCGGGTCGTGTAGCCCGGCGGTCGGCGAGCTGAGGGATCAAGAAGAGTGAGGTCGGCACCGGCTGTGGTGAAGTAGACCGGCGGTTGAAGCGTGGCATTGGCCGAGGTGGGGTTTGCGTCAACCCGGCACCTGCGGTGTGTCGGGCCGGCTTTCGGCTGAGGTTTCGAGTTCGGCCGCCGGCGATGTGGCACCGAGTTCGGTCGGTGGCTGCCGGTGGAGCGAGATCGTCGTTGGTTGCAGAAATCGGTGTTCGGCATTTGCGGGGTCGGCACCTTCATTTTGAAGGCTCAGATTACAATTTCGTGTTTGTGGTGTGGTGCCGGCTTGACGTCCGGGCTATGGTGTATGGTCAGCCCGGGGTTGAAGGTTTTGGGATCCAAGCGCGACGGTTGATGATTGGCGCAAGTCCGGAGTCTCGTTGCCCGGCGTCGGATGGCTATCGGCGATCTTGGATCTCGTGGTGTTAGTCTCATTTTCTTTTTCTTTTTTATTTTATTCTATTTATATCTTATTGGATGTGGATGTGTTCACACCTTTTTTTTTTATTTTATATCTTATTAGATGTGGATGTGACGTGAACAAGACAATACTGACATGAACAGTGTTAGCAAGTGGCTCTATTATGTCCAAGTGGGATGGCTTTCCTCTGATTTTATATTCAACAAAAAGGAATGAAAAAAGAAAAGAAAAAAGGATGAATATCTCTGCGTGAATTGCAACATGAATTCGAGATTAAAAAGGAGAGGTAAAAGATCAAGAATCAAGGGTGGGTTTTTGTTATTTCAAGATTCAAATTCGAGGGGTATGTCAGATTATAAGATGCTGAAAATTTATTTGAAAGGAGGAACACGAGGATGAAGATTCTTGAACATCTTGGGATTTATTTTTTCTGTATCTAAAAGGTAGGATGATAAATGAAAAATGCTGAGAGACTAAAATAAGAGCAGGGATATTCATACCAAGCTTTGAGGGAACATTTTCCGGTGGAAATGTAGCCGTTCTCCGGCGAAAATTGACTCCGAGCAAATTACGGAGCCCTTCTTCTAGCGCCAAACTGTTGATGTCGAAAATCGGACGATCAACCGTCAAATATAATTCGAATCTATACATGAAAAATGAAGAACAAAATAGATGAAAATGGGTGTTTATTTCTTTATGTATTTTGGAAGAAGATGAAAAAATGGAGAGGGCATCATCCAACCGTCCCTACCCTCTTTCTCATGTTGTTAGGAGGAAGGTGATCAATAGTGAAGGAAAGGAAAAAAAAGTCCCTTTCTCTCTCATCTCCCTCTCATATATATACACCCCACCTTCCTCACAAGTGGGTGATTAAATAAATAGGAGATAATACATCATTATTTAATGTGAGATAATTATCATGAAACCCGCTGATAACTCTTGCCGGTTCCAACGGACGTTTGTCTACTCGGCAATTATGGTATCTACTGGAGGCGGCTCTGAATTAGACTCGGCTCGGTAGCTGGCGGACTCGATATCTGCGAATCCGGTCAACTTTTAGGCGATCGGTCTCGAGAACATGTTTGTATATTTATTTATCACATATTTCTGGCTTCTTGGTTGTCGGGCCGTATTTTATTATTTTATTTATCATTTATTTAATCGGAGCCAAATTAGGTATCAACAGTAGGCCCCCGAGTTTAGGACATGTTCTGATTGAACTGTTCTGAAGTCGCGTTTATTCTTGATAATTTGGCGATGTTTTCACCTTATGATCTTTNAATAATCGGTTTATTCGACTGGTTAATTGAATTACACAAAAATAATTGAAATAATTTATTTTTTATATTATAAAAATATATTTAGCATTTTAATATTTATATTTAATATTTATTATATTTTCTTATTTTATAGAATATAATAACATAATATCAAAATCAGTAATGTGCATACGCACACACGATAATGTGCAGTTCGTATAATATTATGATGCAATCTATTGATCGATTATTTTTTATGTGCATTGTAATTTACAACCTTTAATAATATGTTTTCAATTAATATGTTTTTTTTCATTTATCAAATTATTTGTATAATAAAAATATATTTAATAATTTTATTTTTCTATTTAATATTTTATATTATTGTTTGTTGAAAATAAATAACAATATTTGTTTTTGGTCACCCGAGTGAAATACGCTTTAATGTCAATGTACATTCGTGAATGCATTAATGTGCATATGAGGTAACAATATAGTGCAATCTGACAGTCACTCATGTGCATAATGTTTAATACTATTGTGCATTTGATTTGGGTTTTTTTATTTGCAAATTCAAACTAAAATAATTGAGTTATTGGGTTGGTTAATTGAATTAACCTAAATAATTGAATATTTTTATTATTTACATTATAAAAAATATATCTAGTATTTTAATATTTTTTATTTAATAACCTTTATTTTATTTTTTTTGTTGAAAATACATTATATATAAATGTATAAAAAAATAATAATTCACATCTCTCTAGGAGAAGGAAATCCTATATGACAATTAATAATAATAATTAAAGGACATATAATAATAATAATAATAATAATAATAATAATAATAATAATAATAATAATAATAATTTCACATAAGATATCAAATCAATAACCACATAATAACTGTAAATGAGAACGTTCTTATTCCAGTATTATAATTTTCAGTTCAAGCCTCAAATCTAAAACCCCAAGTAAAATTAAAAATCTTCCATGATAGACCTTTATGCAAGTTAAACCATCTTAGATAATGAATCCACATCTCAAAGCACGCCCTACATCAGATGAAAGCAACACTTCTTTATATTTTTATAAATTACAGATTATCCTATGGGCTAAATTGAAAAAAACAAAAATTCTTAAAATTATAATCAAACCCCTAAAAAATATCTAATTCTCAATAAGAAGCCCTAATCCCAATTTTGTGTTCCCTGCCAAGTCTATCGAGATTCGGGACTGTTCGAGGGCAAGTGGTGGCGCCGCCACGGTCGGACAACCTTTGGGATCCCGGCGTCGGTCAATCGTCGTATTTTGGTCGCTGTGGATGTGTGTGTTTGTGTTGCGTCCGACGGCATGCGGTGGATGCTCGGACGAGGCGTAAGGCAGCCTTGCCAGAATTCCGGCTTTCAGGCATGCTGCCGACGGAGATTGTCGACCGTTGTTCGGACGTGAGTTCTCCTGTCGAAGCTCCAGCTTTTTCAGAAACTCGGCGTCGGCGAGCGGCTCCGGCGTTCGCAGGCTTGCAGCGACTTTGTTTCGGGTGGTCAAAAGTGAGAGTAAGTGTGTGTATGTGTGCCTTGGATCTGTGTGTGTGTGTGTGTGTGACAGAGAAAAAAGGGAGCGTGGTCTGTGTGTGTGTGGATACTGGAGAAGGAGAGAGGAGAGAGGTGAGGAGAGAGAGAGAGGTAGGGTGAGAGATACGAGGTGATTGAGAGATTGAGGGAGACTTGTTACTGCAGTGGGACCCACGTGTGATTGATTTGGATGGAGTGGGTTGTGTGGAGAAATTCCTTTATTGTCCTTATTGAATGTATACAGGTTGAGTTTTTTTATCCACCGGATGATTTAATTGGATGGTGAAGATGTATTCTTATTTCTTTCATTGAGAACTATTCTCACCGGAGTGCATCCCTATATATATATATATATATATATGGTCGCGCTCGAGTGAGAATGGTGCTAAAGAAATAAGAATACATCATATTCGTCCGATTGAATCATCTAACGGTAAAAAAGAATCAACAATTTTACATTAAGTAAGGGCAACCTAGACATTTCTCAACAATCCATCATTAGTGGGACCACCCTAACCAAACACACCTCTCTTCACGTGACACCAATCTCTCACTCAAATTCACTCTCTCTCTTCCCCCACCCCCTCTTTCTCTCTCTCTCTCACGCACACACAAGCACCTCTGCAACTAAAAATCGGTTCCCTCTACCGATTAAAAAAAAAAAGTTCTGTTCCCGCAGGTCACTGGCGTCTGCCCGTCGCGGTATCTGCAGCCACAACAACGGCGCTTTCTATGGCGACATGAACCAGGCTCGCAGACTCGCCGTCGACCACTGGAGCCGTCAAACTCCGCCGGCAACGTCCTCGACCGCCGGAGGGACTCTTTGAGACAACGGCGGCGGCAGCCGTCAAACTTCGTCGTCGTCCTCGTCTACAGCGTACATTTCATCCGACGAAGGTCTCCATCTTCAGCATTAGTAGAACCGCCGGCGAGAATCGCCGATGGTGGCGGGGCGACTACACATCAGGCGACAAACACTTCAGTCGTGGTTGTTCAAGGATTTGATTGCAATTCTGTAATTTATAAAAATAATATAAATAAATATTATTTTTATATATATCTAGAATTTTGTGTCCGAGTCTCTAGATAGAAATTCATGGTTGATGGTAATTGTTGTTGGATTAATAGATTTTTCTAACCTGGCATTGTAGCCATTTTTTCCACAATAGACTACTGTAGGTTGCTGTGTAACAAATTTCTGAGTGAACTTAAATCAAGCTAGCTCCACAAGTTGCTCTGGCAATACTTACCAATGCATTAAACTTCGATAAATAACAGAGCCAATGATTTTTGCTAAACTCAAGAGATGAAATTAACTCCAAATCAAAACAAGTCAATATTTTGTACTAGGTAAGCTGTACATCAAGTTTTCCGCGAATAATAATGCTATTGATTTTTGCTATTTAAAAGTGATAAAATTCATTTCTAACCAGCATTCAGTTTCTCCATTGGGGGATATTGAGAGAAAAGGGCAATTTGATGGGATTTCTTTTTAAGGAAAGGGACAAGTGTTTGGGACATTAAAAGACAATTTTGTACCAAATGCAAATAACAGCAGCACACAAATTGTTATGAAATTAACTCTATTTTGTAATTTATTATTTTTTATATATATTTTTATACTTTTATACATATGTATATATCATATTTTTTTCAACCAGAAAATAGTATAAAATATCAATTAAAATATTAGAATACTAAATTTATTTTTATACAAATAGTTGCGCTTCGAGTGCACATTAATGTTGCACGAATTGCACATTATTGATTATCAGATTGCACTATAGCGGTTGAAACGGACGCACAAAGCTTTGGGTTCGAACTTTATGTTTTTCTTCGATTATTTGTGTTTACTTTTAAAATTTTGGTTATCTTGGTGCGATGTCAACTTTATTGTTTATAACTAAACCGATCGAACTATATAAAAAAATATTATTTTATTATAAATATATATATTATACACATTTTGGGTATTTAGGTCAATTTGATTAACAAACAAAACGACTCAGTTATTTCGGTTCAATTTCAAGTTGAATTAGCATAAAAAAAAATATAAAATATTGCATAGACATATTAACATACTTGATATATTTATATATTATAAATAATAAAAGTTTGATTATTTAGGTAAATTTGATTAACCAACAAAATAACTAAAATATTTCGGTTCGATTTCAGGTTGAATTTGCACAAAAATAAAATAAAATAATAAAAATACTTTTATAATAAATTATTTAAATTATTTAAGTTAATTAGATGTACAATTATATCTATTAAAATATAATTTTAAAAAATACGTAATTTATATGTGATCATTTAAAGTAGTGCATTTTATATATCAGCACGATGCACTTTATAAAACAACACGTTGCACATTATAAAACAACACGTTGCACTTTATCACTACAATCGACAACTAACATCAACAACTCCCGCCAAAATACCACACAACGAAATTTAAAAACGGATATACAAAATACTTTAAAATCAATCACATCATTTATCCAAGCAACAACACAAGCACGATAATGTAACGCCCCACTTTATTTTAAAGGATTTATCGAATTTATTTAATAAAAATCACAATAAATTTTTCGCAAACTTTAATTTAATTAAAAACTCAGTGGGCGCTACTCAAATTTACTAAAAGCCTTTAACCAAAAAAACGCAAACGTATCAAATAAAGACAGCATGCACGAATAATAAATCATAAACCAAACTGGCACTCATTAAGTTCCAAATCATAAAGATAATTCACAATTCCAAGTTCAAAACGACACAGTCATAATATCTCAACATAAATGAGCGGAAGCAAATAAATAAGCAATAAATAAAAGCATGACCACCACCCGTCTTGTCTCGTCACCCGTCGACTGCTTAACCTGCATCAGTTACGAGCAGGTGGGAGTGAGTACAGTTAACTATCGTACTCACACTATGCATATGAATAACATAATAATGGTATGGTCGTAGCATGAACATAAACAATAAAATCATGTCACATCTCTAGCCGCATCAATGACTATAGTCTCATCAAAGACTCACTCATGTACATCTATGCTCATCAAAGCAAAGCCATGCCATATAAGTGAAACATGAGAGTGCGTGCCACATCAATGACACGGCCTTCTCATAGGTCTTAATGAGATTTACCTCACTGGTAACCGTATCTTATCATACGGGGACAACCGTACCGACGGCCATCAAGCTCACATCGATAGGCTACATGCTCATTTTCATACATAGATCACACCAAACTTTCATCACAATTAAAATCACACATATGCATAGATAATTTTAGAATAACCCACCTGGATTCCGGATTGATAATAACTCAAAGCAATTGGTAGTAGGTCGAAGCTGGACTCCTCAATTACCTACATTGAGTCAAGATGCTACAATCAACATCTATCTTGACTTTAAACGAAAAACACAAAACAAACCTAGTCGAACTTGTTTCGACTAAGTAGTTCGTGAAGTCCTGTGGATGTTGGAACACTAAGACTCGGCACTAAACTCGACCAAACCACATAAGGGAGTTCACATAAATCCATCTAAGGATTGACCAAGTCAAACTCACATCAAAACGAAAAGCAAGTCGATTCCCAACTTTTCATTTCAAAATCATGTTTTGAAAATAGTAATCATTAATCACATGAAAATAGATGGTCAGGCTACCCTATGACTTAAGCTCTGAAATTTTACACAAAATTACATCTCCCAGAAACATGTAAAACCACAAACTTTCAGCTTCAAACTCGAAATACACTATTTTATAAAATTCGAACAAGATATCAACAAAATAAAAACATCAATTCATACTTGAACTTAATGAACGAATCAGGACTTGCAAATTTAACATAACAACATACATCATGCTAGAAGCAATGTGTAAAAATCTCAGCCCCTAACATTAACTGCTGCTATTTTTAAAAATTCATACGAGATTAAGCAGTTTATCAAATTTAAATCAAAACCGAATCAAAATAGATTCCAAAAATTCCCATCTTTTACCAACATGATTCTACACATAAAATAGGCATTTCAGTACAATTTCAGAATTTTTCATCAAACAACCGATTTATACAAATTCACACAATTTTCAGCAGATTCGATAAATAATTTATTACCCATATCAAATCAAGTACAAAAATTCTAAAAGTTTAACACAGCATATAAACGCATCAGAGGCAAAACATATCAAAATTTCAGCTCATTTGAATCACGAACCAATTTATTAAGCATTAAACAATTTTCTGATCAGATATCCCTTTATTTGTTAAAAATAGCTACAGGCCTCTAAAAATTATAAAATTTTTACACGAGGCTGGCAACGAACAGAAAACATATTACCCAAAGTTTCAAGTCATTCCGAGCAGTATGCGATTTTTAAAAATTCAAAAACCAATTCAGCGACTACCGGAATCGACAACTCAACACATCATTCAAATTATGAAATTTCTCGTCCGAGGTCTTCTCATAAGGCCAAGGACTCGACATTGTTCCATTATCCACCGACTTACATGATTTTTGAGGTCTCGTTCAATTCTTCATAATTGAAGAGATCCTCGAACACTTAAACGACACACATAAAATCACAATTATCACATAGCTCATATCGAACACATTATCACACAAATAATCACATCTCATAAATCAAACATATACGTAAATAACATAAACGATTTAAACGAGACGGAATCGACTAGATACCGTTCTCGGGATTGATACTCGAAAAGGGAACGGAAAGACGAGGCGAGCTCGCGGCGAGCTCGACGGCAAGCGTCGTCTCGCGAAGGGGACAGCGGCTGAGGAAGATGACCGGTGGCGGCTGAAAAGGGACCAGCCTCCTCCCTTGCGTAAACAGAGTGCGACGGTGAAGGGAAAAGGAGGCGCTCGACTGGGTTGAATTTTGCAATTAAAAATCTGAGATTTTGGCGAAGGGCGAGGAAGCTCTGAAATTTCCGGTTTTGATTGCACGATGAGGGTGAAAATATGGTGGCCGAGCGTTTCTTGGGGATGGGATCAAAGATATGGAAGAATATATATTTTTCCTTAATTTTGGTGGTATATGCGCGTGAAAAAGGGGTGGAGAAATTAGGTTCAAGCTGGTAACAAATTCCCCAAAAATCTCATCTAAATCATTTGAATTTATTTGATTTTTAAACCAAATAAAATGGTGTCATATATCTAATAAGTATATAAGGCGAATTCTTACTCAAATAGGCCGAAAAATAAACCCAAATGAGCCGAAAATAATTAGCAATAAATGGAGAAAAAACGGGTCTTGGGTTTAACTCGCAGCTCGGGTTCTCGGGCTCGATTCTGGGTTCTCGGGCTCGATTTTACGGTTCGATTGCGCGATTAAAATAAATCGAATAATATTTACATATACATAATACACATTGATTATTTAATAGTAATAATAACATTTAGACATTTAATTCACAATTAGACATTCATTTAAATAATACTAATTATAATAAAAAAAATAAATAATAATAATAATAATAATAATAATAATAATAATAATAATAATAATAATAATGGCAATAATATTAAATAAAATCTCAAATATTCCATAAATAAATGGGGCGCTACAGATAATGTACGAAAATTACAGTAGCTAAATTTTATACATCATCACGTTACACTTTATAAAACAGTACATTGAACTTTACAGAACAATAAGTTGCACTTTATCACGACTAACATATTGCACAATAGAGATCGAACCGACCGAACTCAAAACTTTTCAACCAAAAATAATATGAAAATAATAAATAAAATTATTAACATATTAAATATAATTTTAATACAATTTACAAATTATTACGATTATTTAAGATAATTCGATTAATCGAACTAAATAAATCAATTATGTTCATTTTCAATTTGATTCGGGACAAAAGTTCGGTTGGTTCAATCTGCAAACTACAAACCAACACCGTGCACCATAATGTTGGCCGAATTGCACATTAATAACTGTTAGATTGCACGTTATATTTCGTTTACATATATACTAATTTTTTAATCAAAAAAATAATATAAATATCAAATAAGAAAATATTAAATAATAATCATGTTCTTTAATAATAAATTATGTAATTTTTAAAGTGAGCCTGCTTAACACTTTTTAAAATCATGTAATTTTTAATAATAAATCATGTAAATAAATCATGTTTTTTTCATAATAATCACGTTGATAACCGTGCCTGCTCCAACTTCAATCTGAAATGTTATCTACATATATAAGCTAAGGAGTTGAAAATTTCCCTCCAAAACTACATTTAATACATTGGAATATATTTTATCAACTTCTATGCATGATTTATCAACAAAAAATATGTATTACATATAAACATTAATTTGTATTATAATTGTATTGGAATTTGCACTCCTATTTTTTTTGACTAAATAAATGCTACAACTACATATATTACCATGAAATAATTTTTGTTAATTTCTATGTATTATTTATCATTCAAACAATATCATAAATATTTGTTACAAAATAAACACTTATTTTAGACATAATCAATTATTATACAAATTCTCATTATATATGTTTTTTTTCATAATCAATTATTTGTTACAAATAATTAATATTTAATATTACACGTAATTATTTATCATGAATTCTCAAACGAATATCTTACTTATTAATTGTCTCTCTCCCCGTTTGTGAGTATGAGTTCTTTTCCTTATATATTATATTTTTTTATAATAATAAATTATCAATCTTATTTAATTAATCACTAAAATAAAATTTAAAGTCAAATATTTTATTTAAAATCATTTATTATTTTTATTGGAACATCAAATACAATATTATGTTTTCGGTTATATTGAGTATATTTCAAGGTAAAATAGAAAAAAACATAACTAATATGATATCTATATGTAACATAATAAATAAATATTTTTATAGTTTTTAATTTTGCATCTATACACATATATATAGATAAATTTTTAGATTTGATATGTCAATTTAAATTCGTCATTGTTTATTTTAACATATACATGCTCATATGTTTTCATAAAAATATTTAATAGTAGCACCATACCACATTTGAAACATATACTCTATATTGATGGAATTTACATACACATTAAGAAAATATGTAACCATCTCTTATTAATCTAATATTATATTATTTTATATCTTTATGTAATTCTAAGAAATTACGAGTGATCATTAATTTATTTGCATTGAGTACCTCATTCCAAAACAAGATCTTTTAATTTAAATTATAAAAAATCTAATCATTCACAAACTCTGATGTGAGCTGAAGTAAGTGTTAGTCAAGTCAACGTGTCATTATTTTTTTAACAAAAATGCGAATTTAGACCTCCAAATTTTATACTTTGTTTATTTTATTTTATAATATATTTTTTTAAATAATAAATACAATACAAATAGAGTGAGATAAAAAATAATGAAGTTATATTTATAATAAATAACATAATTTATTCGACTAAAAGAGATGTATTTTTCAAGAAAAAAATATAATCTATAATATTTGGGGATGATCATTCATATCCATATGAAATTGATCTCGAAAATGTTGAATAACTTTTATTTGAATAAAAAACACTATGTGGATTTAAGTTTATATCACCAATAAACCATGAATATGAAAGCTATGAAAAAAAAAAGACATTACAGAATTCGAAAATGATATGAAATTTGACTGTATTTTATAGATAAATAATAGATTAATATTTCAGAACTGATATTGTATAAAGAAAAAAAAATCCACAAATGATAACGTACAAACAAAGAGACATGACATCATTTCAAATAGACTACTCATGGATTTCATTGTGAAGACTGAAAAAAAAATGCATATATATCGTTTATTTTTTGAATGAATTTTCGGTCATATATTAGCCATTAGGTCGTTTCACGTTAGTTTTTAGTATTTTTTATTTTTAGTTAGTATAGTTTGTTTTGTTTTTTGAAAATCTTGAAGAGTCCACTTAAACACATGAGCATAAAGTTTTTGCCTTCATTAGTTTATTTAATTGGTCCATAATTATACAATTATAATTTCTGAAGGCATAACGGGTTAATTTTATTGTTAATGTTTTATTTCTATATCGTATGCTGTTTTCTTAAGAATAATGATAATGTATCATCTTTATCGAAACATTGTTTCATAGAAAGTTCCTACAACTTACTACAAATGCAACAACTATTTTTGCTTCATCATACATCCCAATTGTTAGTCTTCCTTTTTATTTTTTAGACTTATATATTATTATTAAATATTTTATTATTGATATGTGAAAATAATTTTGTATTTCTAAATAATAAGTTAATTAAAATCATCTTAAATTTCATGCAAAATAAGTTTTAGCTATTGACCTAACATTGACGGTGATCATGTTGATTATTTTTTTAATATAATATTATAAAAATAAAAAATACAACTTTAAAGAATATAATAAAAAATAATTTGATATGTATAGACATATACTTTTTTTTTGTTCAATGAGATGAACATTTATTTTCATAGTTTGTATACAACATAAAAAATAATTGATTTAGTGTTCGAACATAACATCTAATTTAGTCTCATTTATTGGTAAACAATATAAGAATATTGCGAAATGATAGTGTGCAATAATAAAAAAAAATAGAAAATGGTAACATAAAGAGTGAGAGGTCTCAACAACAATAAGAGAGTTAAAAAAAAGTATTTATATAGTTTTGACTTAAAAGACAAAATGATCATATTGATTGAATAGATCTGATAATTATTTGTTTTATTTATTTCATTTGAGCTTAAATTTGAGGTTATGTAAAAATTGGTGAAAAGTGACAACCCTTAATTTTTATAATAAATAGACAATTATACAGCCAAAACTTTTATAATAAAAGTAGCATAATGTGTCAATTATTGTTTAACTTTTGTTTATGAACAAATCTTTTTCTTTTATAAGAGAACAATGAGAGTATATTATCGCAACTAAATGTTATAGTAGATAAAGTTAAACACAACTTATTATAATGTATCCACTACTTTTTCCTTATCATATATCAAAATGTTAATTTCACAATAATGTATTTTTTTATGTATTTTATATAATATAATTTTAATTTATTTTTCATATTTCTTTACAAAAATTTCTTCAATGTGTTTTTCTAAAAATTACATTGAATTACAGTTGTCACCGATTTCCTACAATAATAATAATAATAATAATAATAATAATAAATACACAATTCTGCAGCAAAAAAAATTAAAAATAAAAATAGCATAATGAGCAATTATCATTTAATTTTTGTCAACCACTGCGTTAATCACTAGACAGAAGACAGAAGATAGGCTGGTTTGCTTGAAGAGAATCTTTTCTATAATCAGATCCGAATCGTCTTTGTCCACGAGATATTAAAAATGTTTTTTTTTTTTCATAAGAGAATGATGAGATCATATTATCACAATGAACAGTTGCAGTATATAAAGTTAACCACAAACTTATTATAATGCATCAACTACTTTTTCTTTATCATGTATCATAATGTTAATTTTATTTTATTTCTTTTAGATTTTATATAATATAATTTCAATGTTTTTTTTTGTATTACATTACAAAAAAATTTCAAAGTGTTTTATTATAATTATATTGAATTATAATTCTCATTGGTTTCATGCACAAATAAGTATTTTAATATTACATTGAGTTACAATTCTCATGAATTTCATGCAAAAAAATAAATATTTTAATATTGAGTTACTAATTCTATTTATAACTTTATAAAAAACAATCATCGTTCATGTCATTCTCTAATCATCATCGCACTTATTTTGTAAAAAACAAAAGGTTGAGATTTATTTTGTTAACAAAAAGTAAAAAATATGTAGACTTAATTTAAAATTAAATACATGCAGATAGAAGTCATTTTTATTTTTATTAAATATTTAGTTTATATTTATATATTTTATTTTTCTCATCTTCGTACATGTTAGCATTAATTATTCAATATTAGTTTATTTGTACAATAGTAATCATGACTTTATTTTCTTTTTTCAACTATGAAAATTATGTTATCATATAGAGTTTTATGAAAAATTTTGAAAAAGTGTCATTAATGTGACCAATAATTTTTTTCACGGTATATCAAATATTTTTGTAAGCTTAAAAATTTATTTTAAAAATTTGGAAAAAAAAATTATATTGGATTTTATATTTTTTTTTGTTAATTGTTATTGTTTCTAGAGTCACGATTCATGTTGTCTAATTATTGTTATTACTATTGGTTATAACGAACACAATTCATAATATTAATGTTATATTTGTGGAAGTATTTTTAAATGGATTAATAAAAAAAATTATTTTACATTATCTCAATAAATTTTTTAAAAAATATATTTTCTATTAAAGTGTCATTCACTCACATCATTTTTAATATTAGGCCGCGCAACGCGCGGGTGGCGTACTAGTATGCTTAACACAGGAAGACAGAGGAATAGACAATTTCAACGCACAACGAGAATCTACAAAAGCAGAAGCCAGAAAATAGCAAAACCCTCGCAATCAAGATTCATCTTCAGGCTTTTTCATCAAATTGTATCAGAAGCCCCAGTAGCCACTAATGGCGTTTCCGAAAACATAAAAAAAAAAAAAAAAAATCCTAAATCAATCAACACCCGCTCATCTTCCTCATGGCTATCAAATCCCCAAAGATCCCATTTTTGGTCGTCAGCCAACACCCCAGGTATTCGCCGAAATTCCGACATACAAGCCAAATTTTTACCGGTCCAGAATAAAAGTTATTTAATTTTCGAAATTAAACTCCCCCAATTCCCTCAATACACAGCCGTCGTCGTCACCATTCTCAGGCCACTTCTCGTCTGCCGTTGCTTCTCTCTGGCCGCCACCTCTTACGGCGGTGGCTGGTCTGATTCCAGCGAGAGCATACTAACGGGGTGGGCCTCCGGCGATGGCGAAGAAAGACGGGTATGGTGTCTGGAGAAGGCCAGATCTATGCCGGCAAGGTGGTCGTCGGCTATGGCGGTCGGCGGTGGACGGCAGCCGGCGGCGCAGAGGACCTGGTGTTGCTGTTTTGGCCGGGTGGATGTAGTGCGCGTGTGTGTGCGAATGTGATGGTGTGTGTATATGTGTGAGAGAGAATGTGGGTCGTGGCTCGTGGGTGTGTGTTACTGTGTGAGGGTGATGAGATGTGATTAGTTAGGTCACACACATGATAAGAATTATTTAAAATGACTTAATAACCCTTAATGAGTGTTGAATGACCATATTACCCTTAATGAACTTGACTATAATTACTAACTTTGACTTCATCATGACCATTAATATGTTGGACCTAATGGTCTACAGCCATTCTTATTTCTTTCACAAGGAATCATTCTCATATGATCACTTCTCTCTCTCTCTCTCTCTATATATATATATATATATTGACATATTAATAAAAGGAAGCTGCTCTCTCTCTGAAAATCCAATTACAGTAAAACACCTACATATTAATTAATAATGTTGAGACCGGAGGTTTTATTAATTTATAGAGATATTATTATATTGATAAATTAATAATTTATTAAATAATTTAAAGAGATTTTAACGTATATGCACAGTTGACCATCAAAGTTCAAATTCTTTGAATAACTTTAAGTATACATGCATAGTTATTGATGAAAATTAAGTTAAAATACAAATGTACTAGTAGAATTCTATGAGCACAAACTCACGTAGAAGTTGGAATGGCTTGTTTAAATTAATTGGTTTTGGAAAATACAAAAATATGGTTCAATACTAAGTTGTCTTAAGAATTTTCAAGAGCATCATATATATGTATATGAAGTACTTTTAATAATTATTAATTAATAGTTTCGTCGGGACCAATATATATATACTGTGATCTCAAAAAAATTATTATCTTACAATTTTATTGATTGTGTCCCAAATTTTTACTTGTCCCAACTTGGGACCGGACAAACTATTAGTTTTAGCGAGGTTATTAATTTATTGAGTATTAATTTAACGAGGTTTTATTGTAGCCCCAATTCAGGAAACCCTTCCCTTCTTCAAGCTTGCGCCACCTCCTTCCATTCGGGCTCTCCGCCTGCCCGGCGCTGGCCGCCCTAGGTGTTGATGTCCTAGCCAGGCGTAGGGCTCGCTATTTTCAAGGTTGCCTATGCTTTCGAGCTGTTCCAGAGGTGTCGAGTTGGGGCTACGCGGCGAGCTCCAATTGGCTTCTCAGTGTCAATCGGAGTTGAGGTTCGATTCCAGCCTCTTTTCCCCCTTTAGCCATGTCCCTGCTCTATGTTGTTGATTGGTCGGTCGGCCAGTCGGGCTCTTGACTTCATGTGTCAATAAACACCTGTTTGAATCATAACATGCGACCTTTGTTGTAATGACCAGAGCATCATTGTGTGGCACAAGTACTCCTTCAACATCCTCACCTTGAAAGCTAATTACCGTCATTTGGCTCGTGATCCACACTTCCTTTCTCTTCCTTTTAACTACTAGAACATGCTCCCTTCTGGCATTGTTGAAATCCTCATCAGTCGGGCCACTCGAAATTATGTAGATAGTAACCCTCTTAACAGGGCTGCTTCCTTCTGCTCATTTCAACCTCCCTCTCCTCTTTGTCGTTTGTTACCTTCTTCCCTTCGACCATCTCGACCTTCATCATCCCTGTCTTCATCCTCATCTTTATCACTCATCTTGACTGAATCTTCCTTACACCTCCTCTCCTCTTTTTTCTTTTCAGCCTATCGTGATATACAAACTCCTTCAAGTGTCCTGCTCAGATCAAGCGCTCGATCTCATCCTTTAAATGCCTGCAACTTTCTATAGTATGACCATAATCTCTATGGAATATGCAATATCGGTTTCACTTGGGCTGAGTGCGCCCCTCAATCCTCGATTTTAGCCATGTCACGTCTCGACCATCCAACTTCTTATCAATTGTTTCCAAGACCTCTGTCAGCTTCTGGATTTTCAGCGGCGTGTATTTGTAAAACCTATGACCACTCACTATTGATTGATCCTTCCACCTATCCTCTCGACCCTTGTCTGGTCTATTCCGCTAGTCCCTTCTGGGTGAGTCACCCCTTTCCTTCTTTGGCTCAGGTCGAGCCTGCTGCTCCAGCTTAGCAAACTGCCCCTCCGTTTACTCTAAGTTGACGTACTTTTTGCACCTCTTTAGAACTTTGTCATATGTTCGAGCTGGCGTTTTGGCCAAATAACTCCTACATGGGCCAGCTCGAGACTCCTTATCAATCCACCCTCCTTGACCTTGTAAGAGGCTGATGGTATCTCCACACATGCTTGGTTATAACGTGCCACATACTTCCTCAATGACTCACCTTCCTCTTGACTCATCGCCATCAGAGTCAAATGGGTTTTCCTTGAGCCACGGCACTAGCATATTGATTCAACAACCTCTCCGAAAAATCATCAAAATCTCTCACCGACCGTGGGAGAAGTTGGTGAAACCAATCCAACGCTTCTCCATTCAAGGACGAAAGGAACGCTCTGCAGCTCACTGCATTGAAATACCCATGCGACACAGCCATATTCTCAATTCATCATACGTGCCTCGACGGGTCGGATGAGCCATCGTACGTAAAGTTTGTCTCTCGAGAGTTAGTTGGTAGTGGTGCTGCCAAAATATCCCTTGAAAAGGGGTGTCCTCGAGCATGTCCCACCGGTCTACCATCCACCCTTGCCTACAACTGGCGCAGCTGCTCGGCCATTCCCTCGAACGCTCGATGGCTCCGTCTCCTCCAAAACTCGATGCGTCCTCCTCCGTGTTCTGTTGGTGCGCACCCACCACCGTGGTCGGCGCATTAGCAAGCATCCTCCCCATCTCCTCCATGGTCATTATCACCAGTTGTTGACCAGGTCGCTCGTCCCCTCTCGGCAGCACCGCCACCGCTCCCGCTGGTTGAACCTCGGCTAGATCTGGTTGTTTTTTAGCAGGTACCTTGCTTATGTGTCGTTTTGCCTTAATTCTGTCTTGTTTTGTGTTGACATTTTTGGTGCTCTTTTGTGATTGTGGTTGTGCTGTTTATATGTGTCATTTCTGTGCCTAAGTTCAGAGTTAAAGTTTCAGTTTAGTTGGCCTTGTTTTGGGTTGATTTTGAGTAAGAACAAAAGAGAAAAAGGAAGAAAAGAGAGACCTTAGCTCTGTGTGTTTTGTCTGCCTTATATGTTTAATTGCCCTTGCTTGTTTTTGCCTGTCTTTGCATGTTTGCCTGCTCGCCTTCATTAATAAATTACAAGTATTTAAAACATAGATTTCTAGAAGTTGAACCTCGAGGGCTGTTCCGAGTGACGTCAGCTACTCTTCATCTGTACTTTTTCCTCACATCATCAGTTATGAGGTGAAGGTTCTATATTATAGTTTATTCTATATAAACATGTGGTAGTATTGTTTTTTATGCATGTGATTGTGGGCCGATGGGTCGAATGTGCTTTTGAGAATTTACCTGGAGGCAATAAGAGTCAATAAGCCGAGTAATTATCAGTGAGTAAATAAGTTTTCTACTAGCGGTACTGGGTAATGCCAATGGCACTAGTAGAGTTATTTATTAGCGTGACCGGTTGATGCCGGAGGCACTAGTAAGTAACCATACCAATGTTCATGAACTTAGGTTAACAGCGTATAATAGTTAATCAGTCGGGTATATTTTAGGGGCTTGAAATAATAGTCGATTAGCCGGGTCTACCTGGGGGCTTGAAGCCGGATGTTATCAGTCAGCAGTGTGACAGTAAGCTTTGCATGTTCATATGATTATTATCCTATCTGTGTTTATACTGAATCGATGCATAGTATGAATTTTACTACTGAGCCTAGAGGATGTGCTCACCCCTTTGTTTTTCAGGTTGAGCAGCTGGCGGCTAACATGAGAGGACGGGCGTGGTCATCATTCAAATATGTTCTTATGTTTCAGCTATCTGTTTGTGAAAATTATTATAGTTGAAATGTTTTAAACTTAAACTATTTTAAACTATGTTTTGTAAAGTTAAGTTATGCTTTGAATGATTAAAAGGAAGAGCCTTTTTAGTAATGCCCGAAGGATAGTTTTGATAAACATTTTCTAAGATTTTCAAATTATTTTTGAATTCTTGTCTTTTCTTAAAATAAATAAGTGGGGTTACATATAGGTCCACCCTATGTGTTGTCTTTAGATTCCTTATACATATGTTTTGTGTTGACATTTTTGGTGCTTTTCTGTGATTGTGGTTGTGATGTTTATATGTGTCATTTCTGTACCTAAGTTCAGAGTTAAAGTTTCAGTTAGTTGGCCTTGTTTTGAATTGATTTTGAGTAAGAACAAAAGAGAAAAAGGAAGAAAAGAGAGACCTTGCTCTGTGTGTTTTGTCTGCCTTATATGTTTAATGGCCTTTGCTTGTTTTTGCCTTTCTTTTCATGTTTGCCTGCCCGTCCTTATTAATAAGTTACAAGTATTTAAAACGTAGATTTTGAGGAGTTGAACCTCGAGGGTTGTTCCGAGTGACGTCAGCTACTCTTCATCTGCACTTTTTCCTCACATCATTTGTTATCAGGTGAAGGTTTTATACTATGGTTTATTCTGTATAAACATGTGGTAGTATTGTTTTTTATGCATGTGATTATGGGCCAATGGGTCGAATGTGCTTGTGAGGATTTACCTGGAGGCTTGAAATAAGAGTCAATAAGCCAGGTAATTATCAGTGAGTAAACAATGAAGTTTTCTACTAGCGGTATTGGGTAATGCCAACGGCACTAGTAGAGTTATTTATTAAGGTGACCGGTTGATGCCAGAGGCACTAGTAAGTAACCATACCAATGTTCATGAACTTAGGTTAACAGCGTATAATAGCTAATCAGCTGGGTAGATTTTAGGGGCTTGAAATAATAGTCGATTAGCCGGGTCTACCTGGGGCTTGAAGCCGGATGTTATCAGTCAGCAGTGTGACAATAAGCTTTGCATGATCATATGATTATTATCCTATCTGTGCTTATGATGAATCGATGCATAGTATGAACTTTACCACTGAGCCTAGAGGATGTGCCCACCCCTTTGTTTTTGATGATGTGTTATATGATATAAAAATTCCAGATTTTATTGAATTCATTTTGATGGATTTTTTATGAAAACGAGATTTCTGTTGAATCTTGCAATAATGGCTATAAATCGTGTGTTTAATGTTTGGAACTGAAAATTTTATATGTTGATTCTCATATAGTTGTTTGTGTAGAAGTTTTAAAACATATATCATTCGTTAGGTCGGACTTTAAATTCATGCTTGTTTTTGCTGTAATATTGTTTTAATTTTATAAAATCACATGTATATGTGTTATGGATGAAATTTGGCGAAGTGTATATATTCAGGGACATGTATCATGTGTTAAATTTTCAAAACAAAATTCATCCATTTGCCTGTTCAACTAGAAAATGTGAATTACTTGTCAAATTTTTCAAATATTGGTTGAATATGTTAACTTCTGAATTTTTGCATGAATTGTAATATATGATGTCTTGTTTACATATTTTATCAGTGGTGTGAATTTCATGTTAAGTGGCTGAGCTTATTATGAGATGATTGTTTGTTTTTCCTTTTTTGTTTGAGTCGAGTCGAATGTTCCATAATTCCACGAGAATTTCCCACAAGCCACTTAGTCGACGAATTCGACTAAGTTTGTGTGATCGTTGGATTAGTTGTAATCGAGAGATTATCTTGAATTCGTGTAGGTGTTCCGAGGTGTTGACCTCAAATCCAACCTCTCGAGTCTTGTGTTGTGATTTATCGCTGCTTTCAGATGGGTACATTTACATTGTATCTATAATTATCACACTCGTTATTTCGTATAAATGTTTGTCTCGGTGACTGTTGTATGCGTGAGAACCCTAATCTAGGTGTCCCATTGATGGTGCCTTTGACGAATGCATAAATAGTGAGAGGTCGCCAGCCCGTATGTGATTCAAGAGGTGGACGCTCTGATCCGTGTATTTTTTCAGGAGGAGGGGGGAAAAACAGCTCCACTGTCTCCTAGAAAGGATCCCATGATCCGTGTGTGGTTCGGGGTGGGAAGGTTTCCAGTTACATCCTTGCCGATGTCCTTTCGGAAGGTTTGTTGTATGTACATAGGAGGTTTGCGAGAGGGCCAAGTAGGGAGTTAGACCTGGATTCTATGCATACTTTATTTATGGTTTTGAATCTTTATGCGGGATATACTGTGCGATAATGGTGAGCATAATGGTTTGCGTACCCCCATTACTTTTCTCCTTTTCTCCTCTTTCTTTCTTCAGGTTGAGCATGGCTGGCGGCGGCGGTGGCGTGAAGACGATGGAGTGGTGGTCATTTGTCGTTATGTTATCATTGGCTCTTGCTTCCGCCTATTATTGTTCACGTTGAACTATTTGCTTTTACCTTGGATATTTCTGCTTCCGTTTGAATATTATGATGATGTTTGGATGAACCTTGTGGATCACGTTTAACTTTCTGGTTGGTTTTGGAACTTAATGTATAAATTGGTTTAATTTATATGACTGTTAGTTTATGCATGTGTAGGTTCAATTTATTTGTTCGTATTTGTTTAATTATCTTTTGTTAGTTGAGTAGCGCCAGTTAATAATCAAGTTTCTAATTGAGAATTTGCGAAAAAGTAACTCTGATTTTTTATAAATAAATTCGATAAATTCCTTAAAATAAGACGGGACGTTACACATGCCATATACATTGCCCATAGGTCCACGATATATATTGTTCGTAGGTGCATAATATGTACGACCAGTAGGTCCATCACATATATGGGCTTGTTTGGCAATCAGCTGTTAGCGTTAGCGGTTAGCAGATTGTATTAGCTGTTTTGACCAGCGGATAGTATTAGCTGATTTGACCAGCGGATTTACATTAACGGATTGTTACAAAGTGTTTGGTAAATAGCTATTTAATATTTAGTTGTTAGCATATAAAACTATTTTACATTTATATAGNCAAAATAAAGGTCATTAGCTTAAATGTGTGTTGTGACGTGAGCCAATCATTATTATTATTATTTTTTTTTTTTCAACTTTTGTCTGCTGTCAAGTAGAAGCAAACAAGTTATTTATTTTCCCCAAAAAACTATTGTTAGACATGGCCACGGGTTGGCCCGACCCGTGAACCGGCTAGAAACCGGTCCCGGACCGGCCCGCCCTAGCCGGTTTTTGAACCGGCCTATAATCCCTTAAGGGCCGGTTAAGGGTTATGTGGTACCTATTTTTGACCCGTCGGGTTGGGCCGGGTCCGGATTTTCCGACGGGCCACAGTTACAGATTTATTTTTTTTATTTTTTTTATTTTTTTTAATCGGCAGTTCACTGAACTGCCGGGCCGGTCACGGGCCTAGGTTTTGAGACCCGCCGACTGGGCCGGCCGGGCCGGTCCGGGCCATGACCCGTTGACTGGCCACCTCTAGCTATTGTACATGAACGCTGCAGATTACAGTGTTTCTAATTTTGGCGGTTTGATAAAAATGCTATTTAAAAAAGTCATTTTCCCAAACATTGTATTTTGTTGTTAGCTACGGTCAAACCGCTAAAATGGGTTGAAACTTGAAACAACTAAAAGCTAAAGAAAAAGTTGTTTAACAAACACAGCCATAAGCTGTTTGTAGGTCCATCATATGCAGTGTCCTCGGATCATCACAATATCTGAGCTACCAAGAGGTCATCTCAATATCCGAGCTATTAGGTCTTATTACTCGATCTACAACAGAGGGCAGCCCACCCGAGCTATGAGAGAGGTCGGTCCACCCGAGCTACTATATATGACATTTTATCTGATAAATTTAATCAAAACCAAAAATATTTATACCTGGTAAGTTAGAAATATTACTCAAGTTTAATGAATAAAATATAAGAAAACTCGATAGTTGGTAACAATTTCATTCATCAATTTTACAATATTTATTAGATCATATTCAACTGCTATACATAATATAAGTGGGAGGAGAGTCATCTGTCGGTTGTTCGACTCGGAAACAAAAACATGTCCTAAGTGGCTTGACTTAAGAAAAATCCCAAAGCGATATTCTAAATTAATAATGCGTATTTTTGTCGCTTTCCTACCGAATACGTTAGTCCAGTACTTTGACAGAAAGGTAAAGTATACAAAATCTCTGTTTTTCTTTCAGCTTTCCTCTCTCTCAAAACAAAAAAAATGTGTTCCATTGTTTGGTTGATGCTTTTATTCCACTCCAGTTTGGTAATCACTCAAAATCTCCCTGGTGAAAACGCGTCCCAACAAAAGAGCATTTTCATACTCGCTGGACAAAGCAACATGGCCGGAAGAGGAGGCGTGACAGGTGAAACATGGGACGGATTTGTCCCTCCTCAGTGCCAACCCAATCCCAAAATCCTCCGGCTGAGTGGCGACTTCCAGTGGGAGTTGGCCACGGAGCCTCTCCACCGTGACATAGACACGGGCAAGCCCTGCGGGGTGGGGCCCGGGATGGCCTTCTCCAACTGGGTCCTCGAGAGAGACCCGGGCATAGGGGTGGTGGGCTTGGTCCCCTGCGCTGCGGGGGGGACCAACATAACAGAGTGGAAGCGGGGCAGCCCTCTGTACAACCGGTTGATGCAGCGGGTACAAGCGGCGTTGCACGGTGGAGGAGGCCTTATCCGGGCCCTTCTCTGGTACCAGGGCGAGAGCGACACGGGGACCCACCGGGATGCTGAGTTGTACAAGAGGAGGTTGGAAAAGTTTTTCCAGGAAATTCGGTCAGATTTGCTTTCTCCTTATCTGCCCGTGATCCAGGTAGTTGTAAGCCAACAAAATCATTCCACATATATCCCTTTTCTAATTGATAATAAGTATTGTGTGTGTATGTGTATGTGTAGGTGGCTTTGGCATCAGGGGAAGGGCCTTATGTTGATGTGGTAAGAAAAGCACAGACCGAGATTAGGCTTCCCAACGTGAGATGTGTGGATGCGAAGGGGCTGAAGCTGGAGGCTGATGGGCTGCATCTAAGCACGCCCGCTCAAGTCGACCTAGGTCGCATCATGGCTGATGCATTTCTTAAAATCTCGGCTCCTCTTCCTGTGCAACGGACCAGTGGTGCCTCCAAGAGGTTCCTCAACTTTTTATCTACAATTTTATTTTATTTTTTTTCCTTTTCGTTTGGGTAGATGGATAGAAGATTGGCCATGATAGATACGTCTGTGTAAATTATTGAAAATGGAACTTACATCATGAAGACAATTAACAAATGAAATGCTAATTGTACAATTTTTTTTTACGTTTGATGTAGCATGATGTGTATGGTTGAGATGCAAATAATGTATGGAAGATATGAGTCAATGAAAAATTACATAACGACTAAGCAAATTTGTCTACTATAATTTTACATGTAGTATTACAATCACTAGATTTAATTAAATTAAATAACAAATAAAAATTATACCAATCACCTAATAAATTTTTATTTATTTGACTATTTATCATGTTTTTATTTTTAATTGCAAATATATAACTTTTATAATTTATAAATGATTGATATGTGGTTTATTTTTGTAATGCCTCAATTTTGAAAAACTGAACATATCATTTTAAAGGGGTTTAATGCGCCAAACTCCCCTGTATTATACTAAATCTGCGCCTTTCCCCCCTCTAATATAAAAATTGCGTCGGACCCCCTTCTATTAAGGTTTTGCATGCTGACGCTCCCCAAGCTACGTTTGAGTGTTAACCCCGTTAATGTTTTTGTGAACTTCCCGTTATGCCCTCTTTTATATTTTTGAACCAGAAACATAATTTCTCTCCCTCTCTCTCTTCTCGATCGTCACTTTTCCTTCAAAAAATTGAAGCCCCACACCCTAAATTCATATCAAAATTGAAGCCCCGCACCCTAAATTCATATGAAAATTGAAGCCCGTCACTCTAAATTCAGATCGTTTGAGGAGTTGCACCCAATTCCATCTCTGAAATTCGACAATTTAGGGTTCTAACTTGCGGCGAATTTCATCTTGAAGACATATAAGGTATTATTCGAATCTGGTACATAGTTATAGTCGATTAATTCGTTATGTTATAGTCGATTTATATAATGAATTTTGAAATTTAGGGTTTTCAGTTCTCGTGACTTCGTGCTTCTGAGATGAAATTGGGCGAAATACGATAGCTTCAGTTTTTAGTTTTCAGTTTTCGTGCTTCGTGCTTCAGTTTTCAGTTTTATCTGATTACTTAACTTAGGGATTATGATTTTTGAAATTAGGGCTTTTTGATTTTGAACGTCTGTCTTATTTAATTGTGTTTCTGAAATGATATTGGTTGTTTATCTATTTGGAAAACTAGGGCTTTTTGATTTTAAGATTAGGGTTATTTGTTTGTGCTTCTGATTTTGAAATTAGGGTTTGAAACTTAGGGCTTTTTGATTTTGTAATCAGGCTTAATTATTTATAGGGCTTTGATTTTGAAATTAGGGCTTTTATGTAATATTGTGCTTCGGATTTAGAATTTAGGGTTTTCATATTTTGAAATCATGGCTTTTTTTGTTTTATGCTATTATATTTAGGAATTAGGGATTTTATGTAATTTTTGTGCTTCTGAATAGGGTTATTATTCGAGTTGGGAAATAGGGTTATTATTGCTCTGAATTGTGTTCTGAATCATATGTTGTGTTCTAAATTGTGATTTTGAATTGTGTTATTGTGTTCTGAATTATATTGTTTGTTTGCAGAAAATGGCTGTTGTATTTGATGTTAGAGTTGGGGGAGAGATAGTATGGTTGCCTTTTAGGCGATACTTTGGTGGCCAAAGAGTTGCAGTTGACTGGTACGATGTTGATAGGTTATCCATTTTTGAAATCATGGATGTCTATAGGAGAGCAGGTGGCAAAGCATCTGCAGTTGATATTTTTTCACACAAGCCTGGAAAGACTCTTCAAACAGCAAAGAAGTTGCTGAAGATTGATTCTGACAAAGATATTTTGAAGTTGGTGAACCATTATACAGGGCAGCTGGTTATACCACTTTACTTTGAAGATTTGCAAGGCCCTATACAAAGAATGGACCCAGAAGGCAATGTGATGTCTTCACAAGAAGAGCCCCTCCTTATTGAATATCCATTTATTGAAGAGCCCCAAGAATCACCACACCAAGAATCACCACACCAAGATGATTTGCAATCAAATAAAGAAGCTGAAACACATAATGGTGCTTCAGAGGTGGTTCCTACAGAAACAAATGATGGTACTGGTGAGGTGGATTTTACACAAAGAGATGATGGTGCTGGTGAGGTGGATGGTGTTGGTGCTGCTGCTTGTGAAGCCACAGTTGATGGTGCTGTCCACAGAGATGAGACAACTAGTGCTGGTACAAGACCCTGTTCACATGATGAAAGAGAATCCCAAACAGCTGGCCATGAAGAGGACCATCTTCATGAGGAGGCAGAACAACCTATTGAAGATGAAGTGGCAGAACAACAATTTGGAGATTCAGAGGATTCAGATGATTCAGAGTATGAACCTCAAGAAGACAGTGGTGATGGTGATTCCTCAGATTTATCTGAATGGGAATTGGAGGATTTAGAAGGCCCTGATGATGATGATATATTCCAACAAAGAGAACATGATCATGCTAAGAAGGTACACAAGAGGGCAAGAGAATGGCTGAAACAAAGAAGGAAGCAGAAAAAAAAGGCAAGACAAGAAGCTGGTGCTGCAAGAAGGTCTACAGCAGAAGATTGGTGCAGTGATCCTGAGGATGATGACAAGTGCTTTGAAGAGCCTGATGAATGGATTAATGGTACTGACATGTCAAGGTTTGAGCTGAAGGTTGGTAAAAAATATCAATGCAGAGCAACATTCAAAGAGGTGATTAAAGATTGGTCTGTTAGAAAGGGATATGATTTGAAGTTCCCAAAAAATGAAGCTAAGCTTATCACAGCAAAATGTAAGAGTGGGTGTGACTGGTTCTTGAGGGCCTCAATTATTGGAGGTTTGTCCACATTTCAAATCAAGACATTGAAAGGCACACACTCATGTGCTTACAGGACAGAGAACACACAGGCAGACTACAAGTATCTTGGAAAAAGAATGCTAGATACTTTGAGGGACAATCCTGCTGAGAGTCTGGCAAGTCTGAAAAACAAAATCAAGAGGCATTGTGGGGTTGAGGTCAGTTTGCACAAGGCATACAGGGCCAAGATGTATGCTCTTTCTTTGTTGAAGGTTGACTATGAGGAACAATATAAGAGGCTATATGACTACTGCTCCACAGTGGCCAAATACAATCCTGGTAGCTCTCTTATCCTCAAGTTGAACAATGATTTTTCACCTCCAAAGTTCATGAGGATGTATGTTTGCCTAAATGCAATGAGGCAGGCATTTTTAACTGGCTGTAGGCCAATTATAGGGCTTGATGGATGCTTTCTGAAGACTCTTCATGGTGGTCAACTTCTTTCAACAGTTGGTAGAGATGAAAATGACAATATGCTACCAATTGCAATGGCATATGTAGAAGTTGAGAACACTGATTCTTGGAGGTGGTTCCTTGAAAGGCTAATGAGGGATATAGACCCTTACAAGGAGAAAAAATGGACTTTTGTTTCAGATAGACAAAAGGGTTTGCTTGAAGCTGTGAGTGAAATTGAGGGGGCAGAGCACATATATTGCTTGAAGCACATGTACAACAATTTTAAGCAGAAGTGGGGGGATCTAGAATTGAGGAAATGGTTTTGAAAGGCAGCCAGCACATACAATGTCAAGGAGCATCTCAGGTGCATGAGTCAAATTCAAAAGCTTATTCCTAAGAAGGATGGCAAGGTATTTTTCTCCTTACAAAAACCTGTTGTAATTTTCTCATTACATACCTGCTGTGTAATGTGAATACCTTTGGGTCTGAATATAAGAGTGTGTTCATTTTATGGTTTTGTTCTGAATAACCTGCTATATATTTGGTGTAGGTATTTTATTTTAAAAAGGACAGTAGGTATTTTTTACTTTGTGTTCATGCTTTGAACAATGTTTTGTGTTCATCTTTGAACAATACCTTGCTGTAGGTATTTTGTACTTTGAGATTTTAAATAACATCTCATTGTCTCAATTTATATTAATATAATGAGATTTTGTACTTTGCTGTAGAAAACTCCATTTGAATGGTTGAAGGCTGTCCCTGAAGAACACTGGGCAAGGTGTTTCTTTTCTCCTAATGCAGTGTGTGATGTGATAGTTAATAATCTTTCAGAGTCCTTCAACAACTACATTTTGGAAGCCAGGGATATGGCTATTGTGGACATGTTTGAGTGGATCAGAAGAAGATTGATGGCAAGGATCCAGGTGAAGAAAGCTGGAATAGAAAAATACAGAGAGGACATTTGTCCTAATACAGTGAGAAAAATTGAAGAGCAAAGGGAATTCAGTAGAAATTGTTTCCCTACTTGGGCTGGAGAAGACAAGTATGAGGTGGTTCATGGAGTAAGCAGCCATATAGTCCAATTGGAAGCAAGAAGGTGCACATGTGGTATGTTTCAAGTGGTTGGCTACCCCTGCTGCCATGCACTGGCATGTATCTCTTATCATAGGTTCAGTGTATCTGATTATGTGTCTGATTTTTTCAAAAAGGACATGTATATCAGGATGTATAGCCATATGATCTTCCCAGTTCCAGGGATGAATGATTATGAGGAGTCTGGAATGGGTCCAATTCAACCACCTGATTCTGTGAAAAAAAGGGGTAGGCCAACAAAGAAAAGAAGAGCTGACGCTAATGACATGAGACCAATGGCAACAAACAGTAGCAGAAAGGGGCTTATCAAGAGATGCACTTTATGTGGTGGAAACAATCACAATAAGAGAAGGTGCCCCAAAAGAGGAGGTGAAGGTGAACAGGTCAGTCAATTTTTAAAATTTTTCAAACTTCCAATATTGTTATTTCAACAATCATATTTGTGTTTTTTAAACACTGTGACATGATTTTGTTTTGTTTTTGTTTGCTTTTTTTTTTGGGCAGGCATCTCGGCCACAACCACAACCACAACCATCTAAGCCACAACCACAACCATCTCAGCCACAACCACAACCATCTCAGCCACAACCACACCCACAACCATCTCAGCCACAGCCACAACCATCTCAGCCGTCTCAGTCGTCTCAGCCATTTGAGACTTCCATGCCATCTTTTGAAGATTTTATTCAGTGCTCTGGCCCTCAA